ATCTTATCTTATCTTATCTTATCTTATCTTATCTTATCTTATCTTATAACTACCTATCTTATCTATCTATCTATCTATCTATCTATCTATCTATCTATCTACCTTATCTATCCAAATGAAGATACTCATGGAAACTGGGTTTTCAAGGAAATCTGAACCAACATGGTATAGCTTAACTTCCTCCCCTCTTCCAGCTCTCTTATATATTGGCTCAGTCCTGTGAACCTTCTCCAAATATTCCAGCATTTTCCCAAGGAAAACAGTGCTTCTTTTTTTTCCCTATCCACTCTAATTTTTTAAAAGTAGTCCTTGACTTAACGACCACAATTGTGAATGAAATTTCTATTTCTAAGTCATTGCTAAGTCATTAAATTGAGTTGGCAAATGAACCGATTTTACAACCACGGCTGAGAGCATCCAATCCCTAAGATTTTGGAAAACAGCAGATTGGAAAAGAGAATCCATTGGACACTCCCAAGATGGATGGATTTCCTCAATTTCAGTGTTCATTTGGCATGCAATTCCCTAAATTCTAGAGAACATCATGTTGGAGAAGGCCATTCATGATACACCACGAGGTGGACTTTTTCAACCTTCGTGCACAAAACAGATGGGCTTCTCCAATGTGACGAGGTCTTCAGAACACCAAGTTGAGGAACACCATACTTACAACCTGTTGTCCGCTAGCCCCTCCAGCAGCCGAATTAGAAAAGGAGGAGGCGTGGGAGTCAGGAGTCAGCATCAAGGCAACCTGAGAGCTCCGCGGGGGAAGAGGGAATGGAGCTGTGAGAGAGAGGCAGAGCTGGAGCCTGGGCCGTCCGTCAGCCCTCAGATGGAGAGTCAACAGCCCTCAGATCTGGAGGTGGCTGAGGAGGAAGAGGAGGAACAGCCGGGTCCAGTGCCTGATGTATGGATGCGCAGAAGGCAGAGGAGAGGAGAGCAGTGGAAATCTATGGGCCGGTCCTTGGGATGGAAGAGCCACTCTGCTAGCGAGGCCTCACTCTAGCTCTGGGGATAAAAGGCAGGGGGAGGAGATGAATAGATGTGGTAAACAACTATTCATCTCCCTGCCAGTTGGATTTGTTAGAGATAAACTTTTTGCCAGGACTGTCGGCGTTCTTAATAAAGGAATCTGAGTTTACTTTAGAGGGTTTGTTGTGTTTGGGGAGCTGGGTCAGAACATCTGGGCTCAAAAGTTTTCAGAATTATTTGCCAGGGTTCCTGAGTTTCAGATGCTTCACCCACCATCTCGTTTCTCCTTCAGTGGAAGCGTTCGAGGAGGTCTCTGACAGCCTCTGTGTCCCACAGTACAACAAGCACGGCGAGGAAAGAGTGGTCCTCTTCTTGAAGATGAGCACCAACCACGAGTTCACGCCCGATTTGGTGAAGCGCATCAGGGAAGCGATTCGGGCGGCCCTTTCGGCTCGTCACGTGCCCAGTCTTATTCTGGAAACGGGAGGGATTCCGGTATGTTCTTAACTTTTTCTGTCCTCCCCCCGGAAGGAAGGAAGGAAGGAAGGGAAAAAAAAGAAAGGATGGATGGATGGAAGGAATAGGAAAAACGAAAGAATGGGTGGAAGGAAGGAATAGAGGAAGGAAGGAAGGAAGGAATAGGCAAAAAAGGATGGATGGAAGGAAGGAATAGGAAAAAAGAAAGGATGGAAGGAAGGAGAGGAAGGAAGGAAGAAAAAGAATGGAAGGAAGGAAGAGAAAAAAGAAAGAAAAAAGGAAAGAAAAGGAAAGAAAAGAAAAAGAAATAAAGAAAAAAAAGAAAGGAGAAAGAAACACTACTTTGGAATGACAATTAAAGCAATTATTTTTCCGGTGCCCACACGGAGTAGGAAAAAAGAAAGGATGGAAGGAAGGAGAGAAAGGAAGGAAGGAAGAGAAAGAATGGAAGAAAGGAAGAGAAAAAAGAAGGAAGGAAGGAAGGAAGGAAAGAAAGAAAAGAAAGAAAGAAAGAAAGAGAAAGAAAGAAAGAAAGAAAGAAAGAAAGAAAGAAAGAAAGAAAAAAGAAAGAAAGAAAGAAAGAAAGAAAGAAAGAAAGAAAGAAAGAAAGAAAGAAAGAAAAAGAAGAGAAAGACACCACTTTGGAATGACAATCAACTAAAGCAATTATTTTTCCGGTGCCCACACATGCTTAGGCATCTTTTTATTTTTGTAAACTCAGATTGGAAAGCTATAAATAGTTTATCCATGTTGCTTAGCAACATCCATATGGGCCTTTCATGTTCAATAAGACTTACTTGTTCCTCCTCTAAGGAAAGAATAGTAAATCCCTGATAAATACAACAGTAGCAGTTTTATAAACCTTTCTCGGGGAAACTCTTGGATAGTTCTTAGCGGTGCCAAATAAAGGGACTTCGGGGTGAATGATTTTAGCCTTTGGATACATCCAAATGCAGCTGCCTTTCAAGTTGGCTCTGTTTCGCTGAATCAAAAGAGGAATAAAATGCACAAAGTAGTCTTGAACTCACAACAAAAAGGCCAGTTTTATAACTGAAACTGTACAGTTGCAGACTATTTTTCTCCCCATCTCTCCTAGGTGTTCATTATGTTTTTTCTTCAAGCTTAAGTGGATCACTCGTGAAATGCCATCATAAGCTGCAGGAAAAATATGTTGAAGGAAGAAGGGAGGGAGGTGAGAGGAAGGAAGGAAGAAGGAGAAATGAGAGAAAAGGAAGGAAAGGAGAGAAGGGAAGGTGAATGAAAGAAGGAAGGAAAAGAGGAAAGAAGAAAAGAAGAGAAATAGGAAGGGGGATAAAGATGAAGGAAGGAAGAAACCATGAGAGGAAGGAAGGAGAGAAATAAGGGAAGAGAGAAAGGAAGGGAAGAAGGGATGGGAGATGAGAGGAAGGGAGGAGAGAAGGAAAGAAATAAGAGACAGAAAGGAAGGAAAGAAGATAGTAGGAGAAATAAGAGAAAAAGAAGGAAGGGAGAGAAGGGAAGGTGAGTGAGAGAAGGAAGGAAAAGAAAGAAATGGAATAGAGGTGGACGAATCATGAAAGGAAAGAAGGAGAGAAATGGAAGGAAAGGAAGAAAGGGAAGAAGGGATGGAGGCTGAGAGGAAGGAGAGGAGAGAAGAGACAGAAAAGCAAGGAAGGAGGGAGGAGAGATGAAGGAAGGAGAAATAAGTGAGAGAAAAGGAAGAAAGGAGAGAAGAGAAGGTGAATGAGAAAAGGAAGAAAAGGAGGAAAGAAGGAAAGGAAAGAAATAGGAAGAAGGATAGAGATAGAGATAAGGAAGTAAGGAAAAAACCATGAGAGAAGAAGGGAGTGAGACGGAGAAAAAAGGAACGTAGGAGAGAAATAAGAGAGAAATAGAAAAGGAGGGAGGGAGGGCAAGAGAAAAGGAAGGAAGAAAGAGAAAAGAAGGAAAGGGGAGATATATATATAGAGAGAGAGAAGGGAGGGAGGAAGGGAAATAACCTATGGCTTTTAAATTCTTAAACCTTGGCTGCTTTGTATGCACTTCAACTCTCAAGAGTTCCCAGCATGAATGATGAAGGCTGCAGAGCTCTGGGATTTGAAGTCGAAATACCTTAAAATGGGCCAAGTTTGGCAAAACTTGAAAAAACTTAAAATGGGCCAAGTTTGGCCGGCTTAGATCACTAACCTGATCAAGCTACAGGGCATTTTTTTACAGGCGGCCTTTCCAGGCCAACCTGAAACCCAACCGTGCCATGGACCCTTTCGGTGACCTCCTTTCTTCTGCTTTCCTTCCCCACGTCTTCCTCCTCCCTCAGTACACCATCAATGGGAAGAAGGTGGAAGTGGCCGTTAAACAGGTCATCGCTGGCAAGGAAGTGGCCAAGCGGGATATCTTTTCGAACCCGGAGGCGCTCGATCTCTACCGTAATATTCCTGAGCTGCAGGATTTTTGAAGGCACCTCGTCTCTTCCCGTCTCTTGGTGTGTGAGTGTGTCTCTATGTGTGTTTGCGTGCCTCTGTGTGTGTGCGTGCGTGCATGTGTGCGTGTCAGATTATATCCGGTGTATATAATACGTATATGGATGATATCCATAAAAGAAACCAACTCGAGCGACCTTCTTTCCAGACGGGGGAACAAGGAAACAAAAAATAATAATCTGATTTATCCGAGTGCTTTCGGGAAACGACAAGGGCTTCAATTTAATTGGCATGGATTGGGAGGGATCTCCCTCTTGCTTTTCTTCCAGCTCAGAAAAAAACAGATAGGAATCTGAACTCTTTGGGGCAGAAATCTTCCCAACTTAGGTGCTAAAGGATGGTTGAAATGTCTTTATTGTTTGAAAAGCAAGGATGAGTTGGGGGACGCCAGGAGGAGAAAGGGGAGTTTGAAACGGCGGGCTGAATGTTTTTTGGCAGATGTTTCTCAGTGGTGAGAAGGAACCTCTGGAAGAGCCATTTGTTGCTTTGTCTCCCTTTTGTGGGGTTGCAGGAAGCTTGAAGAGTTACCTTCTCGGTTGAGGTAGAGCCGTGATGGCGAACCTATGGCATGTGTGCCAGAATTGGCAGGCAGAACCATCTCTCTGGGCCACGCCAGCTGCCACCTGTTGTTTTTCTGGGTTCTAGCACATGGCATGCACGCTGGTCAGCTGGTCTTTGTGTGTGCATGTATGCCAGGAACGCGGGAGTGCTGGAAACCAGAAGAGCAGCTCTCCGGCGCACATTGCGCGCACCGGGAAGCTAAATAGGAAGACCAGGTGGCTGGTACTCAGGCGCACGCCGGAAACCGGAAGCTCAGCTTTTCGTGCTCCCATGCATGCGTGCCGGGGAGCTGCTCTTCTGGTTTTTGGTGCTCCCCTGCGTGGCATGCACACTCCCATTTCGGTACTCAGTGCCAAAAAGGTTCGCCAACACTGAGATAGAACATTGGTAGGAAGATACAGAGTTCACCGCCATCTTGGAAAAAACAAGCTTTTATATAATGTGTCGTTCCCACCACGGAATCCTTAACCCTGCCAACCAACTTTTCCACTTGAGAAAAGTTTGCTAGTGCGAGGGAACATTTGTTTTACTTTTTTTTTTGTTAAAAGAAAGAGAGAGAAAGAGATGCACTTTTTATTTAACTTTTTTAAAAAAACAAACAAACCCAAATCTTTATTTTTCAGGTCACCGTTGTAAAAAGGACTCCAATTTTGCAGAAAGATGAAAAGAAGTTTTTTGGGTTGGTGATCCTGGGCTGGTGTTCCTTTTCATGGGACCATCTAATCCAGGGATTTCCAACCTTGGCAACTTTAAGACTTGTGTACTTCAACTCCCAGATATTTCCTCAGCCAAAGCTGACTGGGGAATTCTGGGAGTTGAAGTCCAGAAGTCTTAAATGTTGCTAAGGTTGGAGATCCCTGATCTAATCGATGGTCGTCTCACTTTCATGGGCCTGTGGGATGTGTTTTTTTAAATCCAATCCAATGGCACTTTTGGTGCAGGTTTTAGGTTTTGGTGAAGGGTCAGAGGAGGGGAGGAAAAAAAAACAGTTCCCCCCCTCCCCCAGCATAGAATTAAAAGCAAAACTTTTTAAGTTTTTAAAGTCTGAGGAAGCCTGTGGCAACATTAAAGTGTCTGGACTCCTGCTGGCTGGGGAATTCTGGGAACTGTAGTCCAGGCGCCTTATGGTTGCAAAGGTTGAAAGACACAAATGCTTAGATATTTACAAGGCAGTCGCAGATCTTTCATGGCTGAGATCCTTGTTTTTAGAGTCACATCTTTTCAACAGGCAGGAATTTTGAGCCCAGTTTATTTTGCTTCTAATTGAGGATACTTCATTAGCCAAGGATCCTTTAAAACGGTTTCCTCTATGTGGCCAGGAGTTCCAAAGGCACTGACAAAAGCAACACGTTGCTTGTTGATGTCCTACGGAACCAATACAACAATTAAACCGCACTTAAACCGCCTGGAGGAAAAAAATCCAGAAGAATTCACTTTGAGGTCAGGAATAAGGACCCTTATCCATGGTGCAGTGAGATGGCAGACCCATCCTCCACACCTGCCAGGTAGGAGTTTGGAGTCCAGCAGTTCTTGGATAAGGGAAGCCCTATCCCTTCTCGTCCAAGTGTGAGAAAGCGATTGTGCAACGTGCTTGTTTAAAAGTGGGTGTAAACACAAATATTGGGTGGAGGGAGAATTCTATAAGGTGAGTTCTGACTTACCTGAAAAGGAAGCCTCATATATATATATATATATAAATAAACTGTTTATTCCTTTATTATTATTATTTTTAAATGAATTTTTTAAGGGCATAAAAAGGACTAAAAATGTGGTCGGGGTGCTGTATAGCTGACTTGGTTTGTCAACAAGCGTTTTCTTCCCCTAAAAAATGGTTACAAGCCTATGGAAATAGGCCAATTAATTACACATTTCTAAAGGAAGTTCTAGGTATATTAAAAAAAAAAGGAATGGGGGAAAAATGGGGGAGGGGAATTGAATGAACGGCGGGCAAATTTTATTTCCTTTTTTTAAGAAAAAAAAAATCAAGATATTGAGGATGCTGTCTAATGTTTTACTGGATTGAAACTTAATAAAACACTAAATTCTCACCTGTTTTTGTTTTTTGCGTTGGTACCTGGACTCTGCCTTCAGTCCAAGATCATAGAACACAAGAACATCTTATCAAACGGTGCCTCAGCTTAATAGATGGATGGTTGGCGAGAAACGGTGCAGAAAACGTAATGCAAGGAACTTGTTTGTCTGTATATTTTTATGAACACTGTGGATTTAGTGCCGTTGTAGATTTTTATAGGGAGTCCTTGACATACAGCAGTTCATTTAGTGACTGAAGTTACAATGGCACTGAAAGAAAGTGACTTATAACAGTTTCTCACACTTAATAACTGTTGCAGCATTCCCATAATTATGTGATCAAAATTCTCTTTCTTTCTTTCTCTGTTCTTTCTGTTCTTCCCTTCCCCTTTTTCTCCTCCTCCTCCTCTTCCTCTCTCCCTCCCTCCTTCCTTCCTCCCTTCCTTCCTTCAGAACAAGGGCAAACAGTGGCAAGCACAACATTGCCACTGCTTCTCTCTCCCTTCCCCTTCCTCCTCCTCCTCCTCCTCCTCCCTCCCTTTCTTTCTTTCTTTCTTTCTTTCTTTCTTTCTTTCTTTCTTCCTTCCTTCCTTCCTTCCTTCCTTCCTTCCTTCCTTCCTTCCTTCCTTCCTTCCTTCTTTCTTTCTTTCTTTCTTTCTTTCTTTCTTCTTTCTTTCTTTCTTCCTTCCTTCCTTCCTTCCTTCCTTCCTTCCTTCCTTCCTT